ATAGGCTACGAGCCTCACCTTCATCTAGTTAAAACCCCTCCTAAATATCGTAGCTAGAAACAACCTACTTAGATACTTGTAGGCCTAAAAACCCTACACGTCTTATATAGCCCTTCGGGCTGAAAAAGGACGTTAAACTAGAATAATAATAATAATATGTAAGGCAAGTTCCGAAACTCTAATGCTTTCAGCCGCACTGATCGACCCACTTGATACCAAGCTTTCGCCGCGTGAGGCAAGGTATTGACATGCACCACGTTAGGCTCACAGGCACCCAATATCAATCAGGGAGTGTTTTCATTCTCTAGACGGCCCGGCTCAATAACATAGAGGCAGATCGATGATGCAGTGAAACATATCTTTTGTAAGAATTTGAATTATTTAATAGATCTTGAGCGTCCTTGAAAATAATTGAAATGGAAGCAGCTGCTGAATTTGAGTATACGACATGCATGTGGAATGCGACAATGCAACAGCTCACATTGCTCTATAGGTATCTATTCATTAAAATCTAATCGAACACAATATCCTCTACTGTATGCCCCTTCTATCTCAATCAAGGTCCCAACCAGAGTCTGCCATTATCACTCTACTGTCTAAGGAAGGGAGCTCGCTATACCAGCAGTTGCTTCGCCATGACAATTGTGTCTTTCAGCCTTGAAACAAGCATATTATCTAAAATTTCCAGGTGCGAGGCGTCGTTGGTAGCTTCATTGAGCGACTTCCCAGCAGTCATCATTATCCGCTCTGGGGCTGGTTGTGCTAGATATGGCATTACACGAGCTCTATGAGCTGAGCGAAATACCTGTATCGTCATATTAGCGATCTGCAGCCCGATGTGGTGCCGGTTACCCGGAAAATGGAATAGAAAATACATTCAGATGTTGAATGATCTTACAAAACTCGTCTGAAATCTCCTTGTCCTTGTCGGCTTGGAGCTTTGTGAAGAACGAGTACTTCCTAAACGTCGCAATCATCGCTCGTTGGTTATGGGGAATGTACCGGCGCATGTTTTGCTCGGTCATATAGCTCTCCATTCCCAAGAAGGCATCTATGACCATGAAGCAGAGGTTGTGGCTTCCAGAGACGCCATCGAACTCTACATATTCGCCGTCGATCATTCTTCCAGCTCCCCAGGCCTGAAAGCTTTGGCAGTAGCCGAGCCACACTCCCTTGGCCACGCGAGACTCGACAAGATTCTGGTAGAAGACTTTGAGGAGCTGGCGTAGCTGGATGTTAATATCTCGCATATGATTCAGGCATTCTACTTTATTGCCCTGCTCGAAGGCAATGTTGGCTCCGACCATAGCTTGATACATTGGATAAGCCTATCAAGTTTATATTAGCGTCTTCCATATTGCGGTAATTCATACTGTTGAAAATCGCTGCGTACCATAACTTCTACATCGTAGAAAATGCGGAAGAATGCATCCTCGGTTGCTGTAACAATCTCCGAGACATCCTGGTTAATTTTATATGCCCGCTCGCCCTTGTCATTGAAGTTATGCAGGACGTTGGATGTGTTGTTGCCGCTATCAGACTCGAACCCAAATTTTCGTTGGAGGTACACCCACGGGATGTCGATTTGGGCAGGGAAATCAATAATCTTCTCTTCTTGGGCAACCTTGACCGATGGGATAATTGCCCAGCGGTAGGCATGACGCAAAACACCGATGCAACAATAAAAGCCATTGTAAGCTTCGCGAGAACACCCACTCCAGTCGCCAGCTTCGATCGACGTAAGAATTCCATGGACGCGGGCCATATCAACACGCTCATTTACTTTCTTAATCATGAGCGATCGGAACCGATCCCGACGCTCAATGTTCACGTTGTCGTCGAGCGAAGGGCTTCCCGAGGACAAGAAAGGGACCATATCCATGTAAATCTCGTGGTATGGGAGAAGTTCAATAGGCCAGTTGCCGTGATTGGCTCTTGGCGGCCAGCTGCCAGCGCCATCAGCCTCGACCAATCTGGACAAGGCTGCTCCAGTCTCATGGCTCCTGTCGAGGGCCTTGAGTTCAGGAGCTGTCTTGCTGCTGGTGCGATTTGTCATTTTGAGTGCTTGCCATAATCTGTAGACTACAGCAGCAAGTGACAGGAGAAGGATGGTAGTGGAAAACATGGTTTTTAGAAGTGGAGACGGGCAAATGAAGCTGATTTAATCGGTAGAAATATCCAGAAGCAGAAGGAAAAGTGGAATTGTTATGATGTCTTTGTGGGTTTCGATTTTTCTCTTGTTCACAAATGTATTTCTCGGGTCAAGATGTGCAGCTACGTTTTACTTATAGCGTACGAGATATCATAGGCGCAGCCGCCTTTCAAAACCTTACTACGCTCAATGCAAGTGGCGAGGTACCGCAGCGTGGTGTTGATTCTAATTCAAGATCTCGAGCATCATGATTCCTTGTTGAAAATTGCAAGCCATAGTAGGCTGAGCTATAGAAAGCTGATACAAGCTGATTGACACGCTTGGGTTGACCACGCAATGGCATGAGATGCCTGATGCAGCTCACAGCCTCTCTTCACAGCTCGGTATATTTGGCGAAATGGCTTGGCTATAGGTAAGGATAGGTAGAGCTTGTTTTTCCTCTAAATGCTTATTGCGGCCAAGGTACTAGTGCGCGGTGCTGCGGAAAGCTTCATGGGGCTGTGCGGCGCAAAACTAGGACATCTTGGCACACCATACTTAGAACTAGAGTGGGACAGGTTTTACAGCTTTGCGGCACTCTCCTGATCCCTGGGTATCTCGGTGACCGTAAAAGAATTCGCGCGTCAGCCTCACCTATGTACAGTCGACAAATCCGACAACCAAGATCTGGAAAGCCACAGAGTCAATGCAAGTTGTAAAAAGAGGATCTCCAGATACTGCTTGGTCAGTTCAATGCCAACAGCGACTAAGATGTCATGGTCTTTGTTTACGACGTGCATGTGAATCATGGACTCGTGCAAAACTCTACAAGAATATAAAGAGATAAATGCATTTCCTAACAAAGACTAATAGATCTGGCAGAATAGTGAGGTATTCTTGAACTACATAATACCGATCATGAGCTTTCAGTCTCATCGGTGTCTCAGAGAGTATGCAAATCAAGTCCTTGCCTCCTAAGAAAAAGCCGGTGGGACTGAGAAAGGGGCAACGTTGAACCCAGTTGTTTTAGGCCGCAGGATATCAATCACATTCCTGAACGAAGCCTCATGTAGCTTTGCCCAATCTTTTCGGCACCCGAAAGTCAGCTTTATAACGTTCTGTTATTGGTAGCAAGCGTCAGCGTACCGTTAACGACTCCTCTTGAGCAGAGATAAGTGCTCCATTGAATCAGCGTTTGGTCTCCGAAAACATAGTCGCCGGTGATAGTGATCCAGTACCCACCCCAGGGATTACTGGTGAGATTCCCAACCGCTTCTAGATATTCTAGCTTTTGAATGAAAGAGCCATTGGGCTTTTTCTCCCACTTCGTAAGCTGTTGGAAACCCAAAGTTAACTCTTAGTCCATAAAAGGGTGTATAATTGAAATATCAAAGATAAACTGACAATTTCAGTAAAGTTGAAAATTCCCAACAACGTCTTATATGTTGAAGTGCGCTTCGACATGCCGGGGCGATTATTGGGGCCTTCGGTCTTGTAAGGGAGAGATCCTCGCCAAGCAGGCTTGTGAACTGCGCACTATTCTTAACATCTTGCCTAGATATATCTGCACTGACATGAAATCTTGCCTTACAGTCGTTCATGAGAGCCTCAACATCCGAGACGGGAGCACCAACAACTGCCCACGTGGCAGATTCCGAGTAATCTGTGCCCAAAGGGCAGACGCAGTTGCTACCAGAGTTTGTCGCACACTTTGCCCCAGAAGAATAATCGCTATGAACTGGAGTGCCAAAGACATTTCCAAACATCAGCGCAAGGCTGAGAAGGGTACTGGTGATAACCATTTTAGGTTTGTGCAGATAAGTGGAGTTTGGACAATCAGTCAGGATTTCGACAAGATGACAGTCAGGATGACACCCAAGAAAAATCAATTCAAGCGAAATTGATTGAAATAGACAAATGAGAAGATTGAAAGATCAAGTTTATTCAAACCAAAAGAGGCGTACAGATTACCTGCATAGCGGAGTTTGCCTTGGGCTGCACTGCCTTCAGCCACGATCTACGTAGGCTCACAGACCAAGCCAAGCATCTTGGGAATGTGACCTGATTTCTGGTGTTAAACATAGGTGCCTGAATGCTTAATATAGAATAATTGAACCGGTTGCGGTATATATCCTAGTTCACTAGTGGAAGCTTGCTTGGAGTTGGAGGCTGGCGGCGGTAGTTGGGACACTAGGTAGTCTCTGCTATCGGGTTAGTTGCGCCACCATCGCACATCATGCCTCAGCTGAAATCCAACCTAGGCACAGCCTTCCGCTTGGTCAATTACAACTTGACACAGCCCAGTTGGGATTGCTAGGTTGGCTTAGGGTTATTAATATCGATTTAATGATCATATTAAGTCTGTAGCTGAAGGTAAGGGATCGCCTCATTGCAAACAAGGTACTTATATACCTCTTGAAGGAAAACAATCTTTTTCTTGCCTCAATTGTCGTTTGCAAGGAACCTCTCATCGTTTCTATCATACTTGCATTCTGGACCGCAATTTATCCACTTGTATTTCAATTTAGATCTTTGTAATACATTATGAAACATCAAATCCTCCCGTTTTGGCTGATGTACAGCCTTGGAGTAGCTTTAGCCGCTCCATACAGCTTCAATAGCACCCTTGATCCCCAGAAGATAGCATCTAACCAGCTGGCTTCATGGCAAGAGACTCTTAACGAACAATTGGCGAAAGTTCTCCAAGCCCGCAATGCAGCTGTGAATGGTACCACAGCCACTACAGACTGCACGGCGGATAATATCATCTACCGTCAAGAGTGGTAAATCATACCTGATAGGTTCCGGGACATGATGCTGACTTTCATATCAGGGGATCCATGCTTGTACGTGAGAGGAGGGACTACATTGATGCAGTAAAATGTCTCATGAATTTGCCTCCATTGAGCTCGCCAGACAAGGTGCCTGGCGCACGGAGCCGCTACGATGATTTCACCGCTATGCACATCACCTACGCCCCCATCATCCATCACAGCGGCTTGTTTCTTGTATGGCATCGCTACTATACCTGGTTGTACGAGAAGGCACTCCGTGATGAGTGCGTCTACAAGGGGGGGCAACCCTACTGGGACTGGACGCTGAACTGGGACGACCTCACCAAGTCACCTGTCTTTGATGGCTCTCCGTACTCCATGGGAAGTAATGGCAAGGTCATCCCACACGGGCCGGTAAACGACACCGCTCTAGGATCTACCCGTTTACTCAACCCAGGCACGGGTGGGGGCTGCATCGAAGCGGGTCCATTTGCCAATCTCACCATCAACCTCGGTCCCGTTGCTCTGCTGCCTGCGGGCCCCAATAACGGCATGGGTTACAACCCCCGCTGCCTGCATCGCGATTTCTCGGCTGAGTGGAACAACAATAGCAAACCTACTGACGTTGTCGACCTCATTACGGGTTCGACAGATATTACGTCCTTTGACGTCAAGTTGGAAGCACTCAAGGGCCTGCACGCTGCTGGCCACTTTGGTGTAGGTGGTATGATGGCGGACCAGTACGCCAGCTCGAGTGACCCAATCTTCTGGCTACACCATAGTATGGTCGACCGTGTTTGGACCATGTGGCAGAGTCACGACCCCAGCGTCAGGCCATACCAGACTGGTCGGACGGTCACCGCACACAATAGTGAGGCTTCCCTTTGCCCATTGAATACAAATGTTTTTGTACAACACCTACTAATAACACACTCATTATAGACCCTCCAAGTGCCAACGCTACGCTAGATACCATCATGCCTTTTGGTATACTGGGAACCCCACAAAAGCTTGGCGACCTGGTTTCCACGATTGATGGCCCTTTCTGCTATCAGTACATATAACAGCTCTTAGTTGTTAGACATGCAAGCCCACGATTTTGACTACAGAGGAGAAAATCCATGACCATATTTTGATATCCCCTATGTAGCTTCCGTATTGAATGGAGATATATTCGCTCAAAAGACCTCTCCGCATGGCACTTAGTTCCATGCCTTCTGCCTCTGTGCCACGTAATCGAAGTATCCGTCGAAACAGTCTCGATCTAGACCAATTCACAAGTTTCAACAATGCGTCTAGGCTTGGTAATTTATCGGCCTAATAATGTATCAGTAGAGTATTGAATAAACTGAACGAATAAACATACGCCAATTTCCAGTAGCAGTAAAACCGACATTCTGATGAATATTGCCAACGTAGACGCTGTATGTGGTTCTGCGTGGATAGAGACTTGAGCCTGATCCCTCCGCGATTCTGTTACTTATCTGCGATAACCCAGGATCCGAACCCGACCTTCTGGACTGGGCGGCAAAATTGACAAACAAACTCAGCGGAGCGGTGACCTGGATTTCGAAATTTGCCCAGTAGCCTGACCCATATTCTCCTTGTTGATCAGCCGATCTCCAGGCTCTAAAAGTTATATGATGGCCAGGTCCTGAGTAGGCCCATGTACGAAGAGGGAGCTCTTGAAGGGATGGTGTATGATCCACGGGAAAGACGTTCTGCCTAATCATGTTTCCAACATTAAGATGAAATACGGGTAGATCCGCCGAAGAGGATGGAAAGAGATCGCATGAGAGGCCGCGCTTGACCAGGTCCTTGGTAGGTGAACAGGACGCCAGTGAAATGAGAAAAAGGAGAAACCAAAACATTGGAAAAGATAGTGTGAGGATAGTGTAATTGTGGATAGGAGGTTTTCTGTGTGAAGCGAAAAGAGAAGAACAGATAGCTTATATACATGTTTTCCACAAAGCACGATAACACTTTCTATTTGCATTCCTTCTCCCCCTGTTCGCACTAGGCCTTTAGGCTGTTATCTCGGTGCAAATATTCATATCAAAGCGTCTTCGACAGTCTTATATCATTTCCAAAAATCGGTTTTACGTAAAGTATTAATGAAAGTAAAAGTTTAGACATTAAAAGTGGATTGTACAGTCCAACGTCATTCATACGCTAAAATTTTCGGTTCTACTCTCGGTGTGAATATCAACATGAAAAAATCGCTCGATAGTCTAATATCATTATTAGTGCCAAAGTCCACTTATTGGACGCATCTATTTATGACTGTTTTTATCATACAAGGTTACAAGTATAAGTGCAGTATTCATTTTTCTGTAGAAAATTAATAAAATGCTGAGCTTCCAAGTAGATCTACGAGTTTGATATTACAATCATAGACTCTACATAGTAAATGTAAGTCAATAAAGAGAACCTACCTTAGCGTTAAACTCTGAAAGAAAGACCACTGCCTAGCTTGAGCTTTGACTAATAGTATTACAGATGATGGTTGCGAAGATTTCACTTGAATTTGGCCTAAATTGCGGGATTTTTCCACTAGTAAGCCCTAAGACACAATTCCCTTGTTTTCATTTGAATTTGTTTTGATGTTGGAGGGAATAGAGATTACAGCATCGATCAAAACCGATCTCTTAGATAGTTTCTTTACTATAGTAAGCAGAGGGTAGATTAAGAACGTAGAGCTTAAGGAGCTACAAAGAACAGTGTTGTGATAATCATTTAGAATCCGGGTGCTCGGACTACACCAAGATTTGATCTACAGCTCATGGGCGCGTGCTAACCGCTCCGACTAGCGCTGTAACACAAGTGATCTTTCTCAGCACTAAGCTATTATGGGTACTGCCTAGAAATCATTTCATTTTTGTGAATAATCATTCTTCTATATATCTCTCTCTGCTTCCTTACTCTTATGTTTAAACTCGCTTAGACATTTACTTCATCTATTTTACTTATCCTCTACTATTCACTTTCAATATGTATCTGCATATCACTCTGTTACTCCCCGCCTTTTGGTATTACGCGCCTTAATCAATGTTTATCTTTTTACTTATAATAGCAGGTCTGCTGTAGCTGCCCGGGAGTATGATTTTTGCTCATGCCAATACGACTCCAATACACAAATCTATTTTGCCATTACAGATCTTATTGCAGAAGACTGCGCTCAACCATATATATATGGTATATTTTTGAAGACTCGCACTCACGTAGACAAGAACTAAGCAGAACAGGTCAAGCTAATAATGAACTCTGGATCCCTGCGCCCAATGGTTACGGACCTCGCTTCTCGGGTAGATATGTAAGTTCAGATCAATACTGTTAAGCCTGTTGCTGATACTATATAGCTAAAACTACCAAATGGAAAAATTGATGGAACGACCTTCTACAATCTATGCAAGTCCTATGGCGCAGGAGATAGTACTTGTTTTGATTGTGGAGGTTTTCAATGGAATCCAGACCGCACCGTCATGTGCATTGGCTAGATTAGTTTCATAGCCTGAATGCTCGGCTGTCCAAGTTATGTTTTTACCATAACTTCATTAGCAGGTATAGCTTGTACTCTTTTCTTTAGAGCTATATACCTACATGAACTCATTTATTGTACCTACTATACAATGCTATAGGGTCGTCTTTCGTCTTTGGTATTCTTCTTGAGTGAATATGCTGTTGTCAAAATCAACTTCGTGCTTGAGTTTGCTTTTAGTAATTTGGGGCTTTGGAATATTACCCAGAACGGAATAATAGATGTGATCCGGTATAGCCTATATTGTGCTGATATATGCTCTTTTGTTTTCCAAAAAAATATAAAATGACAATGTTGGGATATATCTACTCTACCTTCTGCATGGTGCGAAAGGTTAGCCTTTTTGCACCACAGACAATATATCATGTCGTCAAGGTAATGGCACATTGAGCAGTATGGACAGTGACAAAATAGAAAAGATTAGCGAAGAACGGTTCAAGCTGCAGGGATATTTTCAAAGCTCACTATCCTATAAACACTATAGTACAAACGGTTGGTAATCTGCTCAGAATGGGTTCCTCTCCTGTAGCCCTGCTATTATTTACGATGATTTGCAAATGTTTCTTGTTGTTAACTTTCGTACTCCAGGTTTAGATTCAATAGACCAATACCGTTCTGTGCAACAATATATTACATATGTTTTGTTTTGAATTACTCGTATCCCTCACTCTTGGCCGAATGGCTCGGCTTTGTTCCCAACTTCATGACGGGGCTATTAATAAAGTTGTCAAGACCATCGTGTGTAAAGAAGGTCTGCGCTTTGGAAATTTGGACCTCGTTGGCACCACGTAACCATATCTTCTCGTCGTATGCTGTGATTGCATCTTTAAGAGTCGCGGTCCCAGACTGTACGCTTTTGAGAGCTTCGACGAGGCAATGTGCAGAATAAAACGCATTGTTTGCACCTTGGCCACGGTGAAATGTCATGGCGTGTGCTGCATCGCCACATAATGTTATTCTCCCATCTTGGTTGTTCCACGGAACCGTTTTCCAAATCTTGAGCTGGTCTCGCAGCACGTTGGTGTCCTCTGGTATCCACTCAATGGCACTCTTGTAAGGCTCGGCCCAGCCATCCCTTTGTACGTGCGCTTTCAGTCTCTTGAGTCGGTCTCCTTCGTTGTCGTGGTCCTCGACATATTTGAGTGGCCAAGTGGACAGAATCTGGAATGTCCAGGTGCTGGCATCGTTCTCGTCGGGCATGTCGAGCACGTTGGCGCGGATGTAATGGCCAGATGGATGGATGGCGATATCTACGAGAGGGTGAAGCCGCTCTTTGATGAAGCGGGCTTGCTCGTCTGTGTACGACGCGTTGAAGTTCATGAGGGCGAAAGGCAACGTATCCATGTTGCCCTCTCGAGGGAGCAGGCAACGGCGGACTTTTGACATGGCGCCGTTGATGCCTATGAGCACATCGCCCTCGTCTGTTGAGCCATCGTCGAAGTAGACTTTGACACGGCCTTGGTTGTTCGTTTCATAGTGCGAGAAGCTCTTGCTGTACTGCACATTGAGTTGGTCCGCCAGCAACACGCGCAACTTGCGGATGTTGATTTCTCGCGCCTTGGGAATCGGGAAGGCAAAGGCTTCTTCTCGTGTCTGACCATTGTAGATGACAATGCGATCTTCCCCAATGGCTGCGCAGTCGACGTACGGGTCTACCTGGCATGAGTTGATTTGGTCGCTCAGTTCTTCGGGAATCAGGTCGAAAAGATACGGCCGAGCCCAGCCAAGAGTGAAGGCCCAATGGCGGTGTCGGTATACGTCTGCGCCCTTGTCGTATATATTGAAGGGAATGCCGTATTTCTTGAGGCCGTGTGCGAGCGCGCAACCTGCAGGTCCTTGGGCGTGTCAGCAGAGATGAGGTACTACCACTACCACGGTGGCCCATTACCTGCTCCAATGATGATGACTTTCATTGTGAGGTCGATGCTCCCCATGGCGGGCGACGTCGATCAATGCACAATATGTTATCGGCTAGGTTACGCACAATGACGGAATGAGGGGTGCCTGGGAGGGGTGGTGGCACTACGAAGGCGTCGTGCAGGGGACGATGCAGTTATAGCAGTAATTCCATGGTAACTAGCGGACCATGGCGTTGGAGCCGGATCGACTAGTGTATGCGGAAGCAATGGGGGGCACAGGTGTAAGCGGCATTGGAGATGGGTTCTAGGACAGTCCAGGTCGGTTCTCCTCTTCCTGATTTCCGACACAGGATCCAGTGCAGGCACTTTAAGTTGGCCAAGACGCAGTGTCTTTTCCAGCATGTTGAAGGAATGGTGCTCCGAGACTTGTTTTCTCAACTGTGAGGGTAGATTTGTAGCAGCTATCTCATTGCGCATCTTCGTCCACGTCCATGCTCACGGCATAGCACATGGCAGCCCTAACAATTTCCCGAACAACTTGGACTTCGTGCTCGTTTCGCGGCGCATATACCATGATCCAACTGGGCGGCGCAATCCATGTCACAGGGAAACGCTGCCCCCACCCCCGCTCCATGATCAGCTTTGCATCTTTGGGACTAACATATACATGCAGCGAGTTCTCAGCGGGGTGTACATGGGCGACTTCATAGAAGATTTTGTGTGCGACTGAGTTGATGGTCTTGACGTCTTGTTTCACGTAAATAGCAGTTCCAGTGCCGCCCTCTGTCTTGCTCGGTGCAGCCTCCATGTAGCTCGAGTAGGGTGCAGTGCTTGCAAGTTCCTGCATCAGACTGTGAAGCGCAGCAGATGCACCGGCGGTGATGGTCTCTGGGAATTGGCGTTGGGGAAGAGTCCAACGCGTGAGCTTGGGCCGACGCCCCGGACGGCTGGACACTCTGTCTGGCCTGATGTACGACGCTCCCGAGTCTGCGAGTGGCGAGGCGTCCAAGAGGTTTTGGCGAGAGTAGAGGAGATAGAGCCCCCAGCGCCTGATTTTCAGGTAGCCTTGCAGTGTTGGGGGGGTGCCGCCTGTGCCTTGGAGGACGTCAGCATCCGACTTTTGCATTCGGCGACAGGCTCTTGTTACCAAAATTTTGCCAGCTCTTGAAGTCGTACCAAAACGCCAGTCCGGCCGCCGCCGCCGCCGCTGCCGCTGCCATCATGCCAGCCAGCACATGGTGAGTTTGAGCTGTCATTTGCAGTGAGAAGGGCGCAGCGAGTAGAGTACCCGTCACATGGCGAGGGCGCGGGGCGCGCAATGGCTGTATACTGCGATGCCTTGAGCAGCTGACACAGCGCGCGGTGCTGGGGACGGGCCGGGGTGAAGGATGGATGCGGGATGCTGGATGCCTGGGGGGTTGTGGTTGGGGGGAGGGGAAAGGCGGGCGGGGGATGTGCCGTCCGGCAGCTTTTCGGGAAGGCTAGCCATGCGGCTAACGTCCGGGTCCCCTCAGGGCGCATCCTCCTCTTCCTCCACCACCACCACCACCATCACCATCACCACCAGCCCCTGCCCGTCACGATGCACGCACAGCATGTTTCAGTCAACGACTCCTGGCTGCCTGCGTTCGTGCCTGAGGATCGCTCGCGCTGCTGTCGCAACATGGCAAAAAAGCATCGGAGGCTCGAGCTCTCCAAGGCAATGGCTGTTTCAAGCATTGCTATTTCGACGGCCGTCTCCAAACATGGCCTGCATGGCTTCATAAGTTGAGCGCCGTGCCCGCCCCCCACTTGTGTCGGGTCAACCGCACAAGTCAAGCGTGCTGGACAGACACATGGTCCTGTGCAACCGCTGCATGGCCGAGCAACCCCGACTCCCTCCGCTCGCTGAGCCGTCGTCGCCTCTTGAATCGGACTTTGAGGGGACAACAGCACCGCAGATACCCCAAAAGTCTCCACAGCGCCAGAGACTTCAGGAGCTCGGTGGAACAGGACAGAGAGCCGGTTCGCATTTGGATTCTGCTGTGCAGTTACCGCCCTCGCCGTCGTCTTCGTCTTGCTATTCGTCGTCATCGTCATCGTCATCGACCCTGCAAGCGTCCCCTCTGCAAGTGCCCTATATCCAGACAGTTCCTTCTCGAGCGCCCGTCTTTGAAGCCCTCTCTGCCCAGGCGCTTCTTGCCCACGCCCTTCACTCTGAAGTGCTTCCTCCTTCAGCCCCCCCTTCTGAAGTGTCTTGCCGCCACGTGCCTCTTCCCCGGGTACCTCCTCCTCCCCCTTCAGAAGCGCCCCATCGAGAAGAAAATCGACAAGACCCTAGCAGGTCCCGGGCGCGTTCAGAAACGCGACGGGAAACCGCTTCGCAACCAGCTACATCCTCGCCACTACTGTCTGTAAAGGCGCGTCCTCTTACACGGCACACGACTAGAAAAGCCAAGTCCCGACACACATCAACGATAATGTCTATTCCACCCCAGCTCCAGCAGCAGCTGCGCTTGCTCATCCGCGCAAACCACATCCTACACCACCACGGCCTGGTGGATGCGTTTGGCCATATTTCGGTACGACACCCGCTCAACAAGGACCAGTACATCATCGCAGCCTACGACCCCGGTGCGCCAGCCCTCGTGAAGAATGTAAGCGACTTCAACTCGTACTGGGTGCGGGACTCGTCGCCCGTAGACAAGGACGCACCCCAAGGCTACAGCGAGCGCTTCATCCATGGCGAGATTCTACGCAAATTCCCAAAAGCAAACTGCGTCGTGCACTCGCACTCCGAGGACGTGATACCTTTTACCATTGGCCACGGACCCAAGCAACCACGGCCCGTTCGAGCCGTCTTCCACATGGCAGGTTTCCTAGGCCACGACGGCGCTTCCGTCTTCGATATGGAGACGCTATACGGCACCGCGAGAGCGCCGGCGGAGCGCGATTTGCTCATCAAGAATGCCACGCTTGGCGAGGCTTTGGCGTCGCATCTCAATGCGGAGAGCCCCGTCGTCTTGCAGCACAAGCACGGCTTCACAACTTTTGGAGCCAGCATCGAAGAGGCCGTCTATCGCGCCATTTACACACAGAAAAACTGCGTCTTACTGCAACGCGCCATAGCCATTGCGGGCGGGAATGCCCATGCAGTACAATATCTCAGCCCCGACGAGATCAACGACTGTGCCGTTATGAACAAAAAGACGCTGGACAAGTCGTTCCGCCTGTGGTTGCGGGAAGTCCAGGTCAACCCTCTGTATCAGAATGAAGAGGGGGAGCCAGAGAAAGGCAAAGTCGCGGGTATGAAGATGTAAAATAATATAGGTAGCATTAACTCGTCATGAGGGTCATTACATGATGGCTGTCGCTGCCGCTACTCCTTGAACTCAATTCCCGGCGCTCCCTCGCAAGAACTAATGTTTCCAAAGTACCACAGATGCGCCGGAATGTCAAAGCCAAGATCTCCCTCGTTTCCGTTCAGGTTTAATATTCCATTCAAAACCTGGATGTCCCCAGTTCCCGGCTGCACACCATTTCCGTTGGTGATGTAGTACTCGGGCGAGTAGTGTCGGTAGCCAAGCGTTGTAGGAGGCAGCTTGGGCACGGGATCAGCCTTGTGCGTGACACGGTATGTCGACCCATTGTTCGTCTGCGTCAGATAGGTGGCGAGGCCTTCTAGACCAATCTTGGGCGCACCGTATGTGTAGAGGTCGACTGGCGTGCCTCGTGCACGCAGCTCACCAGCAGCCAGCCCTGCAAGCGCGCCACCGAGCGAATGGCCCGTTGCCACGACTCGGAAGTCGGGGAACTGGCTTTTGCCCAAGGCAACCGCAGCCAAGACTTTTTGTCGCGCCTCTCCCCAGCTGTTCCAGAAGCCCAGGGATCCCGAGCATGTGCTGCAGATGGTTGTTGGTGTGACAGGAAACTGGACATTGGTGATCCAATTGCGGATACTCCTTGATCCACGGAAAGACACGACGATAAGCTTGTTGGTCGTGTCGGTTGCGACAAACCCAGTAACATCGGTCAAAAGGCTATTCTCAAACTCAGTCAGAGTGTTGGTGTTTGCGGCCTGCACAAGCGGGCAGTTGCCCTGTGGACAAACGACCTTCGTGTTTGGACTGTTGTTGTTGTCGAGGCAGTACGCTGCGGCTGAGTACTGAGAGAAGAACTGAAGCTGACTCAGAACATCTGCCGATACAGCTGCAAAAAACGTTTAGTTGGGCTTCATCATCCTTAGGAATAAAACATGCGTACCTCTCGTGTCCAACTCGACCGGCATTGCGGTGACGGAATAAACCGCACCAAGCAGGATGGCCCCTATGCGCAGCATGGTAGAGAATGTGCTGGTCTGCTTTCCTTGGGTCTTGCTTCGGGGTGCTATCAACGAGTTGGAGAGCAGTAGACAGTGTGCCTGGAACCAATCAAGGGTGTAGAGACGAGGAGAAGATCACTGCCTGACACACTGGCCATCGTGTTGAGGATTGAACATGCACTCTATATACCAGACAGGCAGACTAAACAAAGCCATGTCGCTGTGTAACCGTCGGCAAGTGGGTAGAACTGATGGTGTACAGACCTGGTTATCGATCGGCATCCATAGAGACGATACCATGCGAACGGAGGCCCTGAGTAGCGCGCTGGCATGGATGTTCGTACGTCAGGCTAACTGAGATGAGACATTTCGCCGTTAGCTGGTAACCCTCGTGCCAGGCACGCCAGGGACCGTGTCAATGCCATGCTCAACCTCGTGACCATGCTTGGCTCAAAGAAGAAGGCTTTTGCTTTGGAGCTGACGTTTGTGGAAGAGTGGTGGTAAGAAACGGAGTTTCAGGGGATATTCTTCCGTCGGGTCCCGCGATGGGCACAATAAGGAGACTGCAGCTGACGACGCGTCTGTGCTACCCGTACATATTTTGCTGTCGAATTTGGGAATGCATGAACCCACCCATGGGCACATGTATTCAGGCGGGCGCTTAACGGCATACGGCACACATGCCAAGTCTGGATGGCCTGAATCCAAAACCTGTCAATGGTGAAGCAAGTTTGGCCTGACCAACGATTACTGGTTCAAAAGACGAGGAGCTGAATCGCCTCCTCGGTGCCTGTCGCATTCTCTCCGCGCACCTGAATAGCTGTAAGCTGAATCAAGCTAGCAGCCAGTCTAATAAAAGAACCCGTAATGCGAAATGCGACAGTCTAGATCAACGTATGTCAATCCAAATCTCGCCTCTTCACGACCTGGTGCTGTGAGGAGTGGGGGTAGAGTCGTGACGTAGTGGGTGCGCAAGTGAGAGCCTGGCAACATGCATGGGTAGATAAACAGCACAGGGCTGCCGTTGATTTTCTGCAATGGGATCACAATCAGTAGGCCGTGGGATGGAGGTGCGTTCGGCCTCAGTGCTCGTTTCAGCTAGTACCTCGGGACATATGCGGGGTACTCGAGTAGGCTACAGACTGTGGCTGGTACAGCACCCTAACGAGGGCTACTGTGCTGTGTACATGTCAGCTGTCAACGGGCATGCACGAGAAAAAGGAAACGTCTGGGAAACATCCTGTTTGTCGCGAGTTTGTTCATATATTCTGGCTGCCGTGGACCGGAGCTAGTCGCTAAAGGTACAATTGTCCGTCTTGCTTGAATCGTGGAGTGTGGGGGAAAGACGCAAACCCGTGGAAAAATTGAATGGTATTGGGCGTCGTTCCATCAGGAAAACGGTCAGTGGTCGGCGAAAGAAGAGGAGTAGGTTCTGCGCTTGAGCCCCGAAGTGGTCCCGGGTGGAAATTCATCGGCTCGGGTGCGCGCACGCGAAATGCCGCGCACGTCGTGCGGCGTTACTGCGGAGGCACAAATGGCTTGACGAGCATCTCGCTGAATCTGGAATACCGTCAGTATCGGTTTTGCACATGTCATTGTGTAGATACTCACTTTTCCAGCTTCTCCTTGCCGCGTACTTCCTCAACCAGCAGCGGCATCTTGACGACGTTGAATTCGTCATACAATTCCTCGATCTGGTCGAGATACTTCTTCTGCATCTTTCGCCGCGCGTTGCATTGTTCGCAAGGATTGCTTTCCTTGGGAAACAGCAGCTGGTTGACAACAATTGAGTGCGTGTCAATCTCGTAGCTGTTGAGTTCTTGGATCATGCGCTCCGTCTCGTACAGACTGAGAAACTCTGGAATGCAGACGCAGACAAACGTCGTGAGATCGGCGTCCTTGAACTGCCCATTGACCTCGCCGATCGTCTCACGCAGCGCCTCCATCTTCTGGATCAGCTCATCCATGTTCTGTCCGTTAGGCAGTCTTCCTGACGAGCCGAGGAAGGAGTTGAGCATGGGGCCGAACTGGCGCGACAGCTGAGAGACCTTGGAAAGGGCCTTCTCCATGACCGTGGGAAACTGGAGGAAGCGGAGCGTGTGTCCTGTGGGCGCCGTGTCAAAGATGATGACTTCGTACGACATGGACTTGACCTGCTTGAGCACTTCGGCGAACGACATGGCTTCGTCGACACCGGGTATCTATGTATTGCGTGCTGTCAGCCTGTGCCTCTGTTCCACCCGACGCAGGGCTCCAGTATGCCGTATACGTACGCTGAAGGCCAGATCCTGCATCATGCTGCCCATTCCGCCAAGGCCAGCCATGGGGTCTTGACCCTCTTCTGCTCCGCTCGCTAGCAAGTCCTGTATACTGCCATTGGGGTCAATCTCCATGGCGCTGAGGTTGTCGAAGCCGTTGACGAGCCGCGCATCCTTGCCAAACTTCTGGTTGAAGGCGTCGGACAGATTGTGCGCAGGGTCGGTCGAGATGAGGAGGACGGATTTGCGGTGCTTGGCCAGCTGGATGGCGAGCGAGCAAGACGTCGTGGTCTTGCCCACACCACCCTTTCCGCCAACGAATATCCAGCGCAGTGTCTTCTGGTCGAGAATCGACTGGAGCGTCGGCGCCATATCGGCGTCGATGAGGGCGGTTGAGGCCATGCTGGCGAGGTAGGCAGTCGCGAAAAGGGTATGGGGCGGAGGGGCAGAGGTGGCGTAGTGGTGTGAAGTGAAGGTCTACTGCGAAGCGGTCAACAACACGCCGTGTGACTATACGTATGCTGAGAGAGTGAGAGAAGGCAGAACATTCTCGAAAGCCGCCACGGGGACACAGCATGTGCCTTGGCCGAACAGAGCGGCGCTCTTGTGACTGTCTCAAGGGTGCAAAGAGATGCGGGCACTGGCTACGTACCTCAAATCTCGGGTGCAGTGAGAAGGCAGACGTCGGGGTTGTGCCTCCAAGGCCAAGAGAAGTCGCGCAGTCAAACGCAGCGGGCGGCCGGCCAGGCGCGTCATGAGCTCGTGCGTCACCCCGCATCCACATCCGCCTCGTGGCACTCACGTGCACGCCCACGCTTGCACCAGCCGCTTAGTCAGCACAGCCATGTACATGCATACATCTAGTACTCCTACGTGCTAGATACGTCGCACTTCAGCACCCTCGGCCAACATTGTCTATCTGTCTTCATAAAATACACGGGCAGGGTGCCGCTGGACAAGACCAAGCGACGCCTCAGACGCTCCAAAAGAAACACAAAGTAAACATGCCGCGTGCTGAACATCGGGGCCCCATCAAACACAAGATGCTTCTCGCTATGATGCCCAGCTACACACGTACGCCCAAAACACCATGACACATGTGCGCTTCTCCCGCCGGTCCCACATGGCGCGCTACTTCTTCTTGCCCTTAGCCTTGCCCTTGCCCTTGGCTTTGGTTGCTGATCCCTTGGTTGCCGATCCGTTGGTCGCTACACTGCTTGCCCTCGAAGGCGTCGCCGAAGCGGGAGAAGCCTTGCTCTTGACCGTGTCAAGCTGCTTGTTCTGCTCCATGTTAGTCAATGCCCACACATGACATGCATCCAATCCACACACCTTGACGCTGTTCTTGGCCTTCTTCTTCGGCTGCTCCTCTTCCTCCTCTTCTGTGTCCTCCTCCTCGTATCCCCGCTTGCCATTCTTGTTCTTGGCATCGCCATCACCAAGCTCGCGCACAATGGCAGAGATCAGTGTGGTGCACCGACGCCCAATCTCTTGTGGCGTGCGGCTGAGGAAAAACCAGTCGAAGCGGAACAGAGGCGATTCCCGGATTTCGTCGCGAATCTTCTCGTAGATGAAATCGCCCTCGACGCCGTGCTTGTGCAGCATGACCACAAGAAACTTGTCTTCGTCTTCCGTGTACACCTTCTTGTTTGTCGTCGAGACGGTGTACTTGATCTGCATCTGTTGAAGAGGCATGCGGTACATGCCCACCTTCTTGGCAATGAGACGCTTCTTCTCCTCTGACTGCCGTACGCGCAGCTCACCCTCCTCGATTACGCCCAGGTGCTTTTGCCAGTTGTCCAACGTCTTGTACTTCTTCCAGAACACCTTGGCGTACGCCTCAATCTCTTCAGCCGTCTTGCCATCAACTTCTTCAGCGATACCCTCATAGTTTTGGCGTCCGTACTTGGCGCTACCGTTGAGAAACTGCTGGAAGTCGCGTTTGTTCCACTCGGGGAACCCCTTTTCAATCAAGCGTTCCTTCTCTGCCTTCTCCTCTTCCGTCAGCGGTTCGGCATTGTCAATCTCTTGTTGTGCCAGCTGTTGATCCGCCTCACGGGACTCGAGATCTTCGTCAGTACCCTCTGGAAGAGGTGCCTTGAGATTGTTCTCCTTGCGGTACCATGCCGTCTCTTTGTCCTGAAGCTCTGCAAGGCGATCGGGGAAGAACTGATAGTCGTGAATGACAATCTGCTTTGGCGCGCGGGGTATCCTAGGCTGCTTGTTCTCTGTGCGACCACCGGTGACTAGAGTCTTGCGGTAGTACGAGTCAATGCCGTAGTTTTGCTCTTTGCGTTCACGCTTTGATGGGTTGATCCAAGAGATGCCAATCTCCTTTTTTCGAGGCTGGAAAGTCTCGCCATTCCATTCATAGGTCGAGTCTGATGTGAACTTTTGAAGGTCGTCCAGTCCCAGCGCCTCGTACCGCTTGTTGAGCTTTTCCGTCATCTCTTCACCGCGGCGCATGACGGCGTCAAAGTCGTCGTCTCCAAGCTCGCCAGTAGCGGCCAAACCGACAGGACCCTTGCTCTGGAACACTGCCTCTGCACCGTGTTGAATCATGGTCAAGAGCTCGTCCTTGGATGCTGCGTTCTTTACTGGTTGTTGTGTGCGGCCCTGCTGAATGACCAGTTGATCCAGACGCAGTTTCTGTGCAGCGCGCTCGAGCACCTTTTCTTCAATGGCGTTCTCGGTGACGAATCGGAAAACATAGACTTGCTTGGTTTGGCCAATACGATGAGCGCGGTCCATGGCCTGGAGATCGGCCTGTGGGTTCCAGTCGCTGTCAAAGAGCACAACAATATCAGCTGACGTCAAGTTGATACCCAACCCACCGGCACGGGTGGTTAAGAGGAACAAGAACTTGTCTGAGCCCTCCTTGTTGTAATCGTCAATCGCCTGGATACGATCCTCGTGTGCAGTCGATCCATCGATACGGCAGTACTTGTAGTCTCGCATGACTGAGTAATCCTCCATAATGTCCAGTACACGGCTCATTTGGGAGAAGATGAGCACACGACTACCCTGGGCCTTCATGCGCTTGAGCAGCTTGTCGAGCATGACCATCTTGGCTGCGTTGGTGACCAAATGCTCGTCCGTCGTGTATGGTGGGCCAGGCTCAGCGCCTTCGAACAGGTAAGGGTGATTACAGCACTTGCGCAACTGCATGACGATGTTGAGCAGTCGGGTCTTGGACTCCTTGTTGCCGGCACCGCCGTTGACTGCATCGATATCCTTTTCGAGAATCTTTTTGTACCACTGGACCTGCATGTCAGACATGCCCACGTACAGATTGATTTCCTTCTTGGGTAGCAGCGACTTCTCCACGTCGGCCTTGACACGGCGGAGCAAGAAAGGCCGCAGAACCTTGTGCAATTGTTGAACGACTGCATCTGAATCCTCGTTTTGCTGAGAGAACCAGTCGTCAAAGGCAGCAGAGTCTCCAAAGACATCAGGTAGGAGGAAGTTGAGCAAGGCCCAAAGCTCGTGCAGGTTGTTCTGAAGAGGGGTACCGGTAATGAGCAGCCGGCTTCGCGAGTTGAACATGCGAACCATTTGCGCCAGCGAAGACTCCTCGTTCTTGATGCGGTGCGCCTCGTCGATAATGATGTACTCCCAGGCAAACTTCTTCAGATGCGACTTTTCGCGCAAGATCATCTCGTAAGATGTAATGCAGACGTCGAATCCGTCAGGGACAAGGTGGTCCTTGATGAGCTCAGCACGATCATCCTTGCTACCCTGAAGCACCAGGACGTTGATCTCCGGACACCATTTGGCGAATTCGCGCTTCCAGTTGTCCAGGGTCGACTTGGGCACTGCGACCAAGTGGGGGCCGGTGATGCCAGCGATGTAGCGGAGGTAGCCGACGAACGATATGGTCTGCAGTGTCTTTCCCAGGCCCATCTCGTCGGCCAGGATGCCCGAAATGCCGTTCTCGTGCAGGGAAATCAGCCAGTTGAGGCCGGCAATCTGGTAGTCGCGCATTGTGCCGCCCTGGATGTAGCCTGGCGACTCGCGGAAAACCGTCTCGTTGTGGCCGCCATGCTTTTCCTCGCGCACCAGCTCGGCGTCTTCCTCCTGCTCTGTCTTGCGCCGGCGCTCGGCAGCAGCACCGCCTTTGCGGATTTTGCTCGTCTTTGACTTTTTGCTCTCTTCGGCGTCCTGGCGGTCGATCTCGGCGAGGATTTCCTTGATGCGCGGGTTGGGGTTTGTGTCGATAAAGTGGCGGAACAGGTCAGTCAGGCCGAGCAGATAGCGAAAGCGGCGGATGGTGTCGTCTTCCTACAACAGCGTTTCGTGGTTAGCGGTGGCGCCTCGCGCATGCCGCGGGCCTGTGGGCGTCGCGTACCATGGATGCCCTCATTCCTTCAGCCTTCTTGCCGTACATGGACTTGCGCATGTTCATCTCTTCAGCGCGTCGCCTGCGGCCATCGGGGGGCGCGCTGTCGCCGGCGACGCTGTTTCCCCTCGTGTTTGGGTTCGTGTCTGAGTCCTATGTCTGCGTCAATTGCTGCACAGCAGGCGCGGCGCGCGGGCACAGCCAAAGACGTACTGTGTAGTCGGGTGTGTCGAGGTTGTACTGGCGTCACAGTGTCAGCGCATGCTCCCATGTATATCGTCGTGTGCGCGCCTTTTGCAGCGCGGCGCACGAGGGCGCGAGACGGGGTCGCGCTTACCCCAAACTTCTTGAAGCCGTTCATCTTGTCTTCCGGCTGGTCCTGCATCTCGACGTCCGAGTGCGCTGAGGCATCGTCGGAAGATGGCTCCTGGGCCTTTGCGGCGCTCTTCCGCGGCATGTTGCCGTCGAGTGTGTGGTGGGCGGCGCGGCGTCACGATTGATGGCGAGGACGCGTGGGGAGGCGTGTTGGTGGAGCGGTTGGAGGCGTGGGAGAATAATGCGGATACTTAACCAAGGCTTGGCGCGTCGACACGTCCAGGCGCCGTGCCCACCACCAACCCCCGCGACGCACCCCTGATGCCGGCGGTCTCCCCTTCGCCTGCTCATCCGCCCTGGCGCCTGTACGCGACTCTGCCCGGCCTTGACCCGGTATGCCCACGGTCCACGAGATACCTGCCGACGGACGCGCCAGAGGAGACGCGACTGTGCGCATGACGTCAGTCAGAACATGCCTGGTGCGGAACAAATTCAAAGGACCAGAAGAAGGATCCACGAGGCTATGGACACTGCAGAAACACCAGAGCTACCCGTCCTCCTACCCAACGGCGCCGCATGTAGCAGCGTGGAGAGATTGGTTGCTGGAGTGCTGAGTCGGGCCTGGTTGCAGGTCCCGTAACCACCGATGCTGCCTATGTTTCTGGAGAACCTCTCGCCATCATAACCCCGCCAACTTGTGGATATCGGCAGTCCTCCTCACGCACGCGGTGTGCTACCTTGTGCTGTCGAGTAACAGCAGAGTACAGCGTTGGTGAGCATGACTCTGCTCTGCGGCTTGTACATGGGCATCATCACATTGGTGAGTTTGCGAAACCATGCCTAAATTCCTTGGAGATGATAACACCCATGTTATCCGGAAAACCGTATTGTGCAATTCAAGAGTGGGCAAGGCATGATCAGACCACGACTTGGCCAGCAGAGATTGGTTGGTCAGTTCTGAAATACATGTTGCAGATAGTAGTGTTCGGTTTATGGCCCACCATGAATCGGTACGTCGTCTGACTTTCCTGAAAGTACGACTGTTGGTTGTCTGTAAGTAAGCCGAAACCATGCTTGGCAGACATGATTTTGTGATCAAAGCAAGACATACAGGGGCGGTAAAGTCATGACAATGCGGGTATTACTAAAACATCAGTCTTTGCGATTTACTCTTTTCTAATTGGGGCATGTCACCGGCATCTCAAGCCTTATCTGGTAGTCTATGCCCCGCTTGAACATGCCGCTAACTACTCCACCTTTGCAACACGATAAGAACCGCTTGCCATACTGACCACGATGCCGTACAGCCATTGAAAACAGCCCGTCCGTGTGTCTACCATGTCATAGTACGCTCTGGAGATGCCGAAAGCATCTTAGCCTAGGCGTACCCAAGACGGGCTACGTGAAGGATCGGGAACATGACTCTTTTGAGTGGGATGGTATCATGGCATATCCCTTGCGAGGCTGCGAGCTTGGTCAATCTGCCAACATATAAGGCCCGCCGCCCATTTCTCGACACTTGGAGATGTCCCTCAATTCCCATTTCAGCGCCCAATCCGGTATTTCGTGGGTGAATATGGGCGTCTTCAAGTCGTGGGTCGTGGTGTCCTTTGTCGCATCCAGCGTGCAGGCGGCTTTATCTGCCACAGGCTTCACGGTATCCCTAACGGACGTCGACTACTTTCTTCCTCCCAAGCCTGTCGCTAAGATATCTGGGTGCAATGAAATACAGGGGCTATTCGAGCATGCTCCGTTTGTGCCCTTCACAGTCGTTAAGGCCGAGGGCCAAAGTCTAGATATCGCATCGCTCACGGCTGGGTACAAAGACGACGACGTGTGGCAGGAGGGCTTCATGCAAGGTATTTGTTTGATCATCGTCATCATTCTAGAATCTGCAATTGACGCGGTTGTCAGCAATCCATGTTCAGGGCAGCACGTTCAAGCCTATGAACTCGTCCATTACCGTTCTCTCTGGCACCGCCTCTTCTGCGTTGCCTCTCGGACCCTACTTCATCAATGCTGCAGGCCAAGTCTTCGAGGCATGGAGGCTGTTTTCAGACACTCAGGGTGCTTTTACTGAGTCAGCCATTGCTAACGGAGATGGTTCCTACTCGGTGCTGCCGGCTGGCACGGTTGGCCAACATCAAGCCATCGCAGTGCCTTCGCGTCTATATTTTACAAAAACTGCTGAAAAACCATTGGCCGGTGTACGCATTGGCATCAAAGACATTTATGGTACGTCGGCTCATCTCGGTAGCTCTCAATGTCTGCCGAGTACATATTTGCATCAAATTAATCCCCATTCCTAGCCACGATAGTGCTGTTGCGGTAAGCGTTTGCTGACTCGACCCAGATATCAAAGGTCTTCGCACCTCAAATGGCAACCGCGCATGGTACTGGCTATATCCTCCTGCTAATGCCACTGCAACTCCCGTGCAGAACTTGATCAACGCGGGAGCAATCATTGTTGGCAAAATGATCACCTCGCAATTCGCCAATGGTGAGACTGCCACTGCCGATTGGGTGGACTATCATGAATCTTTCAACCCTCGTGGAGACGGCTACCAAGACACATCCTCCAGCTCCGCGGGCGGCGGTGCTGGTACGGCTTCGTACCCGTGGCTGAATGTCAGTCTTGGATCGGACACTGGTGGTAGTGTCCGCGGCCCGTCTCAAGTCCAAGGTCTCTACGGTAATCGCCCGTCACATGGGCTGGTGGCGCTGGAGCACACAATGCCGCTGAGCCCTGTACTCGACACGCCTGGACTGCTTGCGCGTAACCCTCAGATGTGGATGGAAGCCGCCAAAGCCATGTATGGATCGAACATGACAATCACCAACAACTACCCCGCGAGTATCCGGACCCTTGGTTGGCCGACCGAGGTGGAGGATGTGGCCGATGAATTGCTCATTGACTTTTTGGGCAACGTGACTGAGTTTTTGAGTGCAAACGCGACGGCCTATAATGTGAAGGCATCGTTTGAGGCCGCAAACGCAGACGTTGGGCCCTTGACCACCCTCTTGAACCTCACATACGCACTTCTCATCACCAAGCAGCAGATCGAGCTGGTGCGTGGGCCGTTTTATGCCGACTACGCCGAGAAACACGATGGGCGGCGGCCGTTTGTCAACCCTGTACCATTGGCGCGGTGGGGGTGGGGCGACAACCAGACGGCGACTGTCGAGGATGCGGTGGCCAACAAGACGATATTCCAAAGCTGGGCCAATGAGACTTTCCTTGCCCCTTCGCCAAAGACATGTTCCGAATCACTGGTCATGTACGTCGGCTCTACTGGTCGGACCGTGTACCGCAACACGTACTGGAGCGAGCCTGGAGTGCCTTTCGGTTTTGGCAACAGTCGCATCTCCGTCATGTCGGAAGCGCCGGATTACGTGGTGCCGATCGGGGAGGCGCCGTACAATTCCACAATTACTGGCCATGTCGAGTACTTGCCCGTTACTGCCAACCTGATGGTGGCCAAGGGCTGCGACGGCATGCTGTTTTCTCTTATTTCGGGCCTTTACAGCGCGGGCATACTGAAGGAGAGCAAGGTCGGACAGAGCGGAGTGACTGGAGGGGAGATTTTATACAAGCGAGGGCTACCCGTATATTAGGCAGAGACACAACAATTGCATGCGCTGCTCTTGGAAAAGAGATGACGAGATATACGTGTGAAGGACGGGTCGCTGTGAAGGTCGCTGTGAAGGTCGCAATGGCATAACTGGCAGCGTGGTGGCTGATCGGGGTTCCCTTCAGGTAGCCCCACTTATGTTATCACGTAAGTACTCATCGACCAATGGCGACGCGGACAATTACTTCGGAGCCGGAGCTCACCAACCACCACTCGCACCTGTCCTGCTCTTACACACATGGCCGCATAATACTCGCATACTGTACACGATGCATACTGTCCGCGGTGGCGGCACGTCTTTCGCGGCATCCCGAATCGAGCATGATGACGACACGCCAAAACCCGTACGTGTAGGGAGCCGAGCATGCACTGTGTCTGCCCTTGCAGAAGGACCTTTCGGCTCTCCGCTGTGGTTTGCGCCGCCAGAGCATAAGCTTGGGCGTTCGCATGCGGCGTACAAACTCAATGCACCCTGTCCCAGTAAGCACTGCATATTGCTTTGTGTACTTTGACCGTCTAGGCTGCTCCACATAAAGCCGCGACGAGTCGAGTCTGCTTTCCTATACACCGTTTGGCCTGTCATCCTTCATCATGAGCCTGCCAAAGCACCCAGCAGCCGTGCACTTCTCCATCACCACTACGCTGCTGACGGGCGCTCTGGACGTGGCACACTTCCTCTTCCACTATGGCCCGACATCTGCCACAGCGGCTTCAATCTGTAAGACGCCCTGCGCCAGCCTCGGTCCCGCGCCGCAAACTATGCCACATGCTAACAACTCAATCTGCCAGACAAGATTCTGGACATCCAATTGAGCCCAGAGCTCTTCCCTCTCTTCTCCTACTACACCACCATCCTCACCATCCTCTTCGCCGTTCCCGCCGTCATGACGGGCGCAGCCGAACTCATGCCGCTGATCAAGCGCGACGGCCTCGGCTCGCGCAAAGCCAAAATCGCCATCGCCCATGCCATGATCAATGACATGACCGTTCTCGCTGCCGTCTTCAACTGGTGGACGCGCAGGACTACCCCCATGTTTATGCCAACCACGACAAACATCCTGGTCAGCAGTATGTTTGCCCTGCCCGCCACCATGTTTGCCGCCCATCTTGGTGGCAGCCTGGTGTACAACTACGGTATGGGCCTCAGGATCGGCCAAGCGGCCAAGGCAAAGAAGGGACAATAGGACGACGCAAAGTGAGCCAGGTGGCGGTGTTGCATTCAGGAAGCCGAGCTCAGGCTAGCGCACTCCTGCACAAAACTATTGACTTTCTTTCGATATTTGTAGAGAGTCACGGCCCATTGACAAAATGTCCCAAACAGTCTCTGCATGAGCCTAATTCTATTCATGGACGACTACTACAATCCAAATTCTAGTATTTCGTACTCTCCGCTTCCCTGTTCACAACAATGTTTCTTTCCTTCTTCACCATCTCTCCGCAAAGTCTGTTCCAACAGGTGGTGCATTTGCACTTCGCTCAGAAGCTGGCATCGCTGGAGCTCAAGCAAATCGCTCAAATGGCAGTGGAAGCACACTGCTATGTCGTTGACCAGCGTCTGCTGCCGACTGAGCGGACCTGTGCTACTAGCCATGGTCGTCTCGGTCTCGGTGCGCCGCACCGAAGGCGTGCGCAGTTCCGGTAAGAGGATTACTGCAAACCCCGAAATGAGCCATTTCCCGCTCGGGCTGAGACGGAGAATGAAAGCGCTGTTCGAGTCGGTGATACCAGCGAACATGCAGATGCGGTCTCCAGGTCGGATCTCGTACGACCCTGGGCCTCCTCCACAAGCAACTCCAGTAATGTTATTTGCGCCCATAAACGATGTATAGTGCGCGTGGTGCTGATCCGTGTCTCGGCGACATAGTCTATTTCGCGCGGCCGCATACATGGCTGCTGCATCTTTGGACATGCTCCGCTTGATAATGTCGCGTACCACTCTGTTGCCGCCATCAGAAGCCTGAGTAGCGCCTGACGAGCTGGCGTCCCTCTCAATGCTCGCCTTCACAAGCCCGGTAATGATGAGATCTGTCGACTCTTCTATCATTGACTGCCGCAACTTCTCCGAGGGCCCAGGGTTCCCTGTTGGCGTGTGAGGGTCGGCAAAGCTGAGCAATATATCAGTCTCCCGTTTGGTAACAATCTCGCCGAGATCTAGAATGTCCTGGCTAGAGAAAGACTTTGGGTGCATGCTGGAGCGTCTCCAGCCTGCAGTCCACGTCTTGTGCAGGAAGGCCTCGTCGTAATCGACGAATTCACCCACTTCAGTAATGGTACTGACAAACGAGATCGAAGCCTTCACGCAAGGCGTTGCTGTCAAAACGTAAACGTGCGGTTGAACTTTGGGGCACAGCTTGAGGATGTGGCGAGCAAGTTCCTCGCCAGAGATCTTTAGCGCTTCCATCAGAAAGGCCAAGAATTTGTAGTCGTCCTTGTCGCCTCCCCTGACATCGCTATGGCATTGGTTGCGAAGCACGTCGACGAGCAGTTCTACCAGCGATTTGTTGTAGTCTGGCAAAATCTTTTCTCTACGGCCTTTTGACGCGATTCCAAGGAAGCCATACACGCGGTCGTACTCGACGGTGCTCTGCGAGGATGCGAATGCCTGCAAAAGGTCGCGCAGCCGGAATGTGGATTTCAAACTCCTACTGTTCCGCCTGCCCACGACGTCTCTTCTGTATTTCTTCGAGTGCTTGAAGTCTCTTCTATACTTGAACAACAGGTAGCCGCGACTCTCATAAATCTCCCTTGTGACGGATGCAATTGGAGTAGCCGACAGTCCGTTTCGCCAGATGGTTTCGACAACTGCCACGTCAATACTGAGATCACCACACCATATATCGACCTTTTGCGCTAGTACAAATTCCTGCACAACCCAGATACGGCTCCAATACGGCTTGTTGAGAACATCGGCTAGAGCAAGGTGAAAATCCTCAATTCTGAGAAGGCTTGGACGTCGCCCAAGCATGTACGCCAACTCTTCGGAGCCGGTAGCCAGCCCAAGCCACACTATCACGGACTGCGCCCCACTGTAGATATCGCGCATGAGCGACACTTGGTGATTGCGCTCCGACGTGTTACTCTGGTTGATGGCGATGGCGTCAATCCACAAAGACATTGCCTTGGGTGGATTTCTTTCTGAGCAACGGCGGAGAAAATCCTTCTTGCGATAATGTTTGAGGAAATTCCACAGGCCTTCTCCAACCACAAATTTGGCCCCACCAATGTCAATATTCTTCGTTGGACCACCCTGCTTGTCCCACGTGTACGACAAGGCTATGTATGCGGGTTTCTCGTCCAAATCGCAGACTGACATGGTCGCTTGAATAGGCTCGTATTCTGGTGCAGGTATTATCTCTAGGAGCCTTATGCTCTTCCCATTCGGATCTAGAAAACCATATTCTAGTGCCGGCAGAGTGTCCACGGCGTCCAGAGGGTCCAAAGAGTCCAGGGGGTCCAAAGGATCCACAGAATCCAAAGGGTCACTGGGCTCCGAGACTACTGGGAAGATAGCAGGTACGCTGGACTTGCGTCTTGACTTTCCAAGTCGAAACAGGTCCACAAAAGCTTTCTTCAGCAGGCTCTGCTTCGACCCGTCGGGTGTGGCCATGTTCGTACACGATTCCAGGGGACAGCCACGGAGAAGCTGGATAACAGCTCACGGTAACAAAGATGGACAAAGGGACAACCCGGTTCAAAACAAGACGAGGCACTCAGGTTAACGTCATGGCCACTACAAGACTGCGGATATTGTGTAGCGGCCGCAGCCGCAGTAGGTTGTGTGAGGGAGACACGTCTGCGACGCGAGCGATGGCAGATGCTAGTTTGTGCCGTTCCCTGGACGAGAAAGCTCGGCTCGGTTACAGCGCTAACTGATTGTGGGGTAGAAGCACGAGGATCCCATGTTTCGGCCATCAAGCACCTGGTCATTGTTTGTGGATGTATCAGCATTACACCTACTGGACATGAGCCCAGATACATTATAGTGTGATCGACCCTCGTTGGAAAGCGAGCGAGGGCTGCATGGTAAGCTGATGATGAACGGGCAGACACGAACCCATCCAACAAACACCACAGGCTTATGCGGGGTCATCATTAGTGGTGTGAACTCACAAAGAATACCTTCATTTCTTAAAGAAGTACTTTCAGCCCCAGTTCCACTAGGCCGTCAGGCTATCATGAGACCCGCGAGAGTCTTCAGCTAGCCACGTGATGATGTTCACGTGATGATCGAGATCTTGAAATGACGTGTACATCTGGACATGCTTCGGTAGTTCATTCTTGGCTAGGGAGATTACATTACAGATACACCGATTTGAAAGGAGGTGTTTGCGATTGGAATTACTGCTTCCGCTTTAGTCTACATGGGCATGACGATTGCCTAGATTTGAAGCTTTCGACTTAACACTAATCTCATCTCCAGAGGACCATGAATGAATGGAAAATCTCTTCATATTATTCATACCAAGATGTGGCCAGTACACACATGACGGCATCTGTGGTGATACATGGCCAAATAATGGAATATCCTGGGTCACCTCTCGCCAGTCACAACAGTCACACCGATCTGGTTGGGTATTACTGGAAAATTACTAATGTGGAAAACCCTATCAAATCCTTCGATACCTGGTTTTGCTTTCAAATGCTCAAAACGGCTCCCCTACATTAGTCTTGTATGCTCCTTGTTCGAGGTGCATCTAGAACCACAACTTTCACAACAGCCAACGCGGCACTAGCCCTTAGCAATCCACTAAACACAACGCCACTTGCCCAGAAAAAAGCAGCACATGTTTGGTACATGGAACCACTCAGCACAAAGCTAAGCAGTAGTCGACCCAAGGATACCAAAGGAATGTTTCTAGAACTTAAGAAGAACATCAGAATAAAGATCACTTCGTATTTCTCGTTTATTGTATAGTATCCAAGCCTGGGGCCCAGCCCAGCTGAGTTTTTTGTTGACTTTTGTCATGCGAGAATTCAAAGTTTATAAATAGGGGGCCTTGTTGTCGGTACGGGATGTACCGCCTTTAGCCTAATTTCAGGGTATGGGTACGACAGCCAATATTTCGTGTTGACCTTGCATGTCAGCCTTGCAGCCCCTCTGCTCGGCAAAGCCATGCTCAAAGTTACTTGTAAAGAAGAAGTTTTGCAGAGGCTTTGACCCTCTTTACTTGGCAAGTGCACATTAACTGTCTTGATTATTGACAAATTTGAACGAAACCATAGTAAAATCAGGTGGGGGAAACTTTACCATTACATCCGCGAATGCTTGCCGTAGCATTCTCTGCAGTATGATTACAATCAAATACGAATTCATATATTTCACACCACACCCCCGCAGACTAAAATCCTTCCCTCCTCTGAGCTAAATCTGTTGGCCACTAATGTTGAGGGATTCAAATGTCAATATTTGTGCCGTTGCTGCTTACATTTTGTATTTGATCTCCATGTTCGCCCATGCTGACGACGAAAACTCCCAAGTATTCCTGTGTGAACCAAAATGCATCAATTGACGACTTCATTCTTTGCAGCAGTGTTATTGATAGCCACTAATGTTGCTGCTGAAGTCAAACCTTACATCTCGACCGAAGCAGAGTACAACACAGAATGCAAAACCTGCCCACGCTCGCTATGTCCCAATCAAATCGCCTACGACTATTATGATACTTTCAATGTAACGTGCTGGACACACGGAACGAAGATCATGGGGGATGACCTATGGCTCAAGACTGAGGCTGGTTGTTACGTCACCCAGTATGACGTGGTAGAATACCCAGGCGACTGTAAGCATGAGGTTATAGAGGCGCATACAACCAAGGCTAAAATATTCTTCTAAGATACTACTGACCTCAAATACTGCGGCGCTGCTTCCGAAGTCCAGAAACTCACAATTCAAAAGGCACAGCTCAAGTACAAGACTGAATGCAGAATCTGTCCCGAGCTGACATGCGATACGATTTCGTATCTGAAAGAAAAAACCAATCTGGAACTTACGTGCTGGTATCCAGACGGCCAGGTCATCATCGATGATCCGTAAGTCTCGTTTCTCGTCCCAGAATACCCATATTACGAAAACCAGGCTAATCTATAACTGTGATTAGATATTGGCTGAAAACAAGCAACAATTGTTATGTGGCACAAAAGAATCTGTACTCGAAGCCCGACCTAGCCAAACTCGACAATTGCGGGCCTATCCCCTTCCTCGAGGACTTATGGCACAATAATGAGAATGGGACGAGCGATAATAACAAACGCTCACCCTCTGCTGCGCCCCTTCCCGAGCCGCTCCCCAAAAAGGAAGCAGATATGAGCGTCATGTACCTTATCAACGTTACTGTGGGCGAAGAGTACGCATACTGCCGGTCCTGTACCCAGGATACGTGCGCCGTGCAGCGCACATATGAGTTCAACGACGAAGTGTGGCTGCAGTGCATTACACAAAAGAATGCGACTGGGTGGTGGAGTCAGACAACAGACTTTTGCTACATCAAAAACACTGATTTCTGGCAGAGTCCGGAGGGAGATTATTATCGTATGCCGACGTGTGAGAGGTTTGACGGGGATCCATCAGGAGGCGATGATGACTAGTTCAAAGCCATGAGATAAGGCTGTACGTATGATTGCAGTAGAGAAGGATGTCAAAGAGTCTGTGCATGTCACTTTAATCTCACAAAATGGACGTATGATCTCAACAAATGCGGATGATAGCTTCGAAATTCCATTGCATACGGTTTTCATCTTAACGATCCCAGGTTCTTCCAGAACCAAACATATTTGAAAATGAAGGGAAATTCAATGAAGGAAGGGTGACTAAAGGATGGGGATTTGCAGGTGGGGTCCTGATGGGGAGTATGTTGAGAAGGTTAAGGCCGTTTCTGGACTTGATGATGTCGGCAGCCTTTTCTGCAACAGCATACATTGTGGATTGTAAGTGGGTTGCGGGAATCAAGGGGATGATGCTTGCATCAACGATGCTGAGGCCTTTTACCCCGTACACTGTAAGATCGCTGGCCACACAGCCACCACATGATTCGGGCATCATGGCACAGGTGCCCGACATGTGTGCAAAGGATGCCTCGAGAGCTTTGTTCTGAACAAGGTCGTTGATGATCTCATCGTCTGTCTGCGCCTGTGGACCGGGCGTGAGTTCGACGGGGTTGAATTTGGCAAGCTCAGGGTTTTGCCAGTGCTTACGTGTCCACCGAACCATTTCGACGATGATCTGGCGGTCGACGGGGTTTTGCAGAGAGTTGAACTGGACAACGGGAGCCGCATACTTGTTGTTAGGGTCGATGGTGACAGTGCCACGAGAAAGCGGACGTTGTAGAGCATTGATGGCTAGGCCAAACGGCACCATTGGAAATTCACCAACAGCGGCGTCTTGACTGGCGTGGAGGCCAGCGATGATATCGCGTTGCTTCTGGAAGCCGTTTAGGAGTGCAGCGTTATCGTAGATGGGAGGCAGATAGCTGCGAGCATTCTGCGACTTTACAGTCTGCACAATGTCATTCCATTTGTTCGTGATATTCTGCAAGCTCAAAAAGGCGAGACTGTTACCGTGGGCTTGGGTGAGGGGACCAGTTTTGTCAGTGTCATATTGTGACCACGCTGTAGCGTTGTAGGAAGGGTTGGCACCGCTGAACGGATTTGGGAAAGCCAGGTTCTGTAGGTCGAAATACATGTTGGCGTTGGGGTGATCCTGCATGTTGGCACCGACTGCCGCCATGTTCTTCTTGACTTGGATCCCAGCAGAGTTCAGCAAGCTTGCAGGACCGATGCCGCTGAGTTGGAGTATTTGAGGTGTAAAGATTGAGCCGGCGGCCATGATGACCTCGCGTTTGGCAAACACCTGACAGACAGAACCGTCCTTGCGAGACTTGAATTGGACACCATTGGCGGTGTATCCGGTAAGGAGGCCACTTTTGAACAAGATTTCGTTGACAGTCTTTCCCGTAATGAGCACCAGGTTTTTGCGACTCTTAACGGGGTCGTAGTATCCGTTTTTGGCATGAGATCGTGTTTGCGTCTGGGATTGCAGGGAGGAGGGTACCCAGTACGCGCCAACAGCGTTGCCTGAGGCATGTTCTTTGGGCAAGGGAATGCCCTCTCGCCTGTAGGATGCCCAAATAGTCTTGGTATCTTGATATTCGAAGTTGGGGAAGGAGGCTTGAATGGGACCATTATTTCCGTAGTATGATGCGTCGTAGGTAATGCCAAAATTCTGGGCCTGGGATGCTGATGGCGGTGTAAAGGTCGTCGACTTTTTGAAGTAGGAAAGGAGGCTGTTGAAATTCCAGCCGGTATTGCCGAGTTGCTCCCACGCATCGTAGTCGGCGGCAGATGCGCGGTCAAAGGCCATGCCGTTGATGACCGATCCTCCCCCTACCACGTTTCCGACCCAGACAGGGTGTGTGCCGCCGGTACCAGCGTCATAGGCGGAAGTGATGTCGTACATGAGTGGCGCATTGATACTGTTTGCAAAGCTCGGCACCCGTGTGGTGATGTCGTCGACCAAATAGCCATTTTCTATGACAAGGACAGTACCTTGGACTGGGTTAGATGATGGCTGCATAGACTGACTAAACACTTACGGCTTGAGTCTTCACTCAATCGGTTGGCTACTGTCAGTCCAGTCAAGCCCCCACCTACGATGATGTAATCAAAAGATTGCCCATTAACATTTGGTTCGTTGTTGGTGTCTTGCAAAACTTGAGGGTCCAATATGCGCGGTACGAAGGACGAAAGAAAAAGGAGACCAGAAAGAATGAGAGACATGTTGAAGAAAGAGAGGACAAATGAGTGTATGGTATGAACGAGAGTGATGCAGCGTTGCAATCCTGCAATACCCCTGGGCCATGTTCAAGAGACGCGCGACAAGTTTATATCGACATTGCCCAGGACCGGCAAGTAGTGTGCGGATGGGCCACCTCTGGGTACGCAAGTATACGCGAAGCTAAAACATGAGAAGGCGACGGACCAGATGCTGTCATGGCATAGTTAGTGCCTTTAGTCGAGCACTCTTCTTCATTATTAATAGTATGGGACATCGTAGTCCGTGGTGTGTGTCGACCATGGATTGCAATAGCCACGCCAACGCATTGTCAAGACCCAGATGGCCGCATATTCGACATTCTCGTGCAAAAGATGCATTGGCGCTCTGCTGAGAGGTCAAAAGACGTTCCTTCGCGGGCTTCCTTTGGTCCGAAAATGAGGCGAAGTATTGTCGTCGCGGGGTGAAAGAATCAAGGGATACGCAACCAGAGGAGGTGGTGAATACGACGTTAGTCGCTGGTTCGCTCGTTATCACCATGGACAGAAACTCTGTGTGCAGTCGTACGATGGACGCCACTAGACGCTAGGAAGCGAAATGCTGCTCTGGGCCGTGGCCAGTGGCACCACGTTAGGTGACAAAGGGACGGCGAGTACTGCGATGTGATTGCTGCGGGTGTGGGGTTGAAACCTAAAGTCGATTGCTGCAGGGGCCGCGGCCCCCAAGCGAGGGGGGGAGGAGAGGGGAGGGGAGGGGAGGAGAAAATGAGCAGGCATGCCCTCATCACCATCGTCGCCTCGCTGACTAGTGCTGCCAGCCCAGCCTTCGCAGCTTGGCGGGTGAATAGACGGCTTTGCCCAACCACAGCCACTGTCTAGATCGTATATGGCGCCCACGCCTTGCCTGATTCGGCAAAAGCGGCGACGGGCTGGCACCCGGAGCTAGCCGCATTGGGCCTGGGCGCGCCATAAACTCCCAACCTACACCCTTACGTCAACAAATCACTGTCGCCGCTCCGAAATTACCAAAACCATGGCATTAGCGCACATGGCAGCATCAGGAAAACGTCCCATGGCGCTGTCTGGCGCTGCTGGCCGCTCTCACAAAGCCTGTGTGCGTCAGTGGGCGCAGCATGCACAACACCACGCTGCTGGACAATGGCTGCATCAGGCACCCTGCCGGCCTGAATAGACGAAAGGTATGCTCGTATCCCGCGTCTCTGCCTACATGACGATCCCCGGCCTGGTGCATTTCAAACGGCACCCGCGCTCTATAGCACACACACACATGCAGCCCATGGCTGTGGTGTCGGTAGCTTCCATGCTATTCCCAGTCCGGCCTTGCTGCAGCGGTACGTACCATACCTTTCTGGTCCTGCAAGGAACCACTAACAACTCTAACAGAACCTGTGCCTGGCGGGTAGGTATAGCCCCAGATGGTCTAAGAACCACGGCTGCGTGGGGACTATTGGATTCGCATCTCAGCCGGCCACCGTCTGGCCGAGATTCCAAATTCGACTTTCGCCGTAGCGGTGGCATGTCTCTCCATCTTGAGATTCTGCGGGTTCGGGACGCCTCAAAGCAAAAAAATACCAACAAGTCGCAAAAAGGCTAGCATGTGCAGATCGACCTGGTCAAAACACTGGTTGAATACATGCTGAAGATCGCTCAAGGTCTAGTGCAGCCGGGCCTCGGGTGAACACCTCTTGCGCAACTGCATGTCGTTTCGCCACTGACTCATGACACTGCCACTACTACGCCCAGAGGCGGACCCTGGCCGTTTCCCGTACGCAAAGTTATACATTTGAGCTTGGTTGGTTCGACCCTTCTCGGCCACTCCGCCACTTACGGCGCGCTGGTCCCAAGGCACTGGTAGGGTAATTACAACGACAAAACCAGCTGCATGGTGCATTGTATAACTACAGCCCAACGTCTTCCCAAAGAGTAAGCGAGTGTTCCTGAGAACCGCATTTCCATTCCAAGCTCCTCGTCTGCACGTCTCCGCCGGCTCCGCGATATACCTCCATGACTGTGCCAACCCCACCGGAGGGCCTTCCTTTGAACAACCGTACAAAAGACCTCAAGATACCAATTATTGTTTTGGTCTGTTTCAGCTTCGTCTTCGTTGCATTCCGCCTGACAATCAATTGGAGAAATCGAAATTTCTTCCTTCTTACTGATCATCTGTTATGGACCGGATGGGTAGGCTGCTTTCCACCTAATGCTCGCAAACGGCTTACTAACAAGATCCAAGGTGTTGGCTGTGGCTGGAGCTGCATGTGGCTACAAGATGGCCGAAGTGGGTGGCGGTAGGCATGTATGGGATCCGTTTCTGACGCCAGCACGCTTGGAAACGTACCTCTACTTTCTGTGGCTCAGCCAACTGCTCAATCTCTACGGCATGGCTCTCGTCAGATTGAGTGTATGTGCCTACATTTTCATGTTGGATTTCTCCAAATCCTTTCGCATCATCATCTGGATCTCGGTCGTTGTCCACATTCTCATCAACTTTGTTTTCCCCACAGTTATTCTTTTCGGCGAATGCACACCCTACTCCAAGCACTGGGACGTGACGGGGACCAAGCCCGGTTCGTGCTGGGGTCCAACACCTAGACTCATATCCGGATACTCTGGGGCTGCCACCAACATTGCGACGGATGTGTTGTACACGGTGGCTCCTCTAGTCTACATTGCGCGCATTCAGCTCCCGAAGCGCACCATCTGGGGCGTCCGAGCAGTCTTTCTCTGCGGCCTTGTGTAAGTTTTCGCGCATTTAAAGACAAGGTTTTGCCAATTTCCCTAATAAAACCAGAACAACGACCATATCCGCGCTGAAGCTGTACGAGATGAAAGAACTGGACAATTCAAAAGACATGACGTACGAATCCGTCAACCTCAGCATCTTCGCCACATCTGAAGTCTTTATCGGTGCCTTTACCGCCTCGCTTCCCCCACTGCGGAAAACATTTGAAAATACACTCCGCAAGGTCCTGCCCACAAGCCTGACAGGCGGTTCGGGCAAGGGATCAAAGGCGAGCTATGCGCTCGAGAACGTTGGGGGCTCAAAATCGTCGAAATCGTGGAAACCAAAACACGACATGGACGCCGACAGTGAGCTTGGCATCTTGCCTGCAAATGAAGCTGCTGCTAGCAGGACTAGAGAGTCGGATCAATCCATCATGAAGACGACGCATGTAAGTGTCACAGAAGTCGTGAATGCTACATCACCACGGCAGCCTGAGGACTGGGCATGAGTAGTTTCTTTTGTTCCAATATTTGGATAATAGTAATGATGATGAGTTTGCAACGTATGACAAGCACCAACGGTGGAGGCTTACCACTAGATCCTTGAAGTGCCCCGCCGCCTTGGTAATGATGATCGTCGTGATGATTAAGATGATCGGCGGTACTTGGCGACCGCTCTTCACATAATTTGCGCATAAGCGGTGAAGTTTTGGCCCTTTCACTTATGAAAAGGCAGGAATAGCGACAATAATTATCTCAGCACTAAAATAATACGAAAATCAAACCAGTGCAGATGCATAATTGCCCGACCCAGTGACTTCTTCAGTAAGCATTAACCCGAGATAGTTCTAGATTTTACTTCACCGTATCGATATGGTGAATTGCATGGGTAGAGCTGACATTTTGTTAGAGCGAGTATAGGGGTCAAAATCACCGTGAACAGGGCCTTTGCCTTGTCGAGTTCAAAAGTGAACATATACTTAAACACGACAGATCCTTGATGTTGCCTGCTATCAGCACTTCCTTCTCCACTACACACATCTACATCGCTATTCAGACGGTATACTAGTATATTTGATACCTTTTCATAACGGTAAGTTGTCCGTGCCTTGTTTACGATACGCTAGAAAGGCTCTCTAGCCAGCTTGAAAAGATAGCGGCAGATTTAGAGTGGCCTTTGATGTATTGTTCTACATGTCCAAGCTTGTTTGTTGGGCGTTCAAATTCATCATTCTAACAACAGTCAAGTACAAACTGAAGCTAATCTTATCTGTTGCAGGAAAAAAATATGCGTCTATCACACCTCTTAGCCACTGTCTTCGCAGTCGTTGTAGCAGCCGATACACAGTGCTGGTACAATGGAGACACGGGCTCTAGTGTTTGCTGCGCATCTGGCGACACGTGCGATAGCTACAACGGTGGATTGCCGCTGACGAACAATGTGAATGGCTGTGATGACGATGTTCCCTCATGCTGAGGCATTTTAACACATGGTAGGAGTAAGGGGAAGGGGTAGCTCCTGTGTTCAGATGTATTTTTTGGTGGTGATGGGGGGCGAAGGTTTCGAGTGAGCGATGGGCGAAAGTAGGATATGACAACATGTGATATCTACATATAACGATGGCGACTGCGTGATTCATGAATCATACTTGGTAACAGTGCATCATTCTTGTGAGTGAAATAGTGGTTGTGCCCGTGATAGCTGGCAAATTATATTGACATCTACATGCTATGTGAGAAATGGCAGCGTCTTAGGGGAAGATAGCATTAATGAATGCATCCTCCGCACGATGGGAGACATGTTGCTTACATGCTGTATACTACTCCATGTATCCATGTGGTGAAGATGCATATCCTGACTCTAGCCTATCCTAGCATGTTACTGTGGCAAGCTCCGCCTGTGTGCAACTTGGCTAATTGTTTAGAAAAGCGTAGATGATGAGCCAGGCGATAGCTAACGTTCGACTCTTCGTCTATCACAGCATTCGATATCAATTGGTTGCTTCAACTGGTTGTGGAAACTTATTAAATATATTTTATAAAAAAAAACTGTAATTCCAATATAGCTATACAAGCAGGTGAAGTAGAAGAGGTGATGAGTCTGAGGAATAGATTAGCACGTAGAAGCTATCCAATACCCCTGCCTCTAAGCCTAAATAGGGAGGCGCCGGGATGGGCGTAGCCGAGGTTTCGTCATCAACACTCGTGCATCTCGACACTCACACCACGAACCTTAATCCTCATTCCTCGCAATGTCAAATCCATCCAAGCCCTATTTCCGCGATCTTCAGTTCCGTGGCTTCGTCGAGGGTCTCACATATGTCGGTGGCGATGATAGCAACAGCCAGCCGCTGTGCCACTACTTTGGCGGAGTCCCGTACGCGCTGCCTCCTGTTGGACCCTTTCGCTTCCAGAAACCGCGACCGCTGCCGCCGTGCTATCGCTACGGCACAAAGGCAAATCCAGGAAGATATACGGGTGCCTGCGGCCTGTGTCCGCAACCAGGTGTTAGTACCGACACTCTAGACGAGCAGTCGTGGGACGAAGACTGTCTGCAGAGCAATATCTGGGTTCCTACGGGAAACCCGCCAACAGCTCAGGGTACGTGCGTGTTTTTCTGCCCGACTCCTTTCGCCGAGACTAAGAAGACGACTGACTCGGACACAGGATGGCCCGTCTTGTTCTGGATCCGTAAGTGCTGCTAGTTTGCTTTTTCTTCCCTCTTCGCTCTCCTTTTCGTGCTAGCCAGGCATTCTAGGGCCTCGCCTCACCGTTTCACGGTGATAAGCTTTTGCAGCCTGCAGCTGAGCTTCGGAAAGAAACCGGGCATCTGTGGACATGGGACCCAAGCCTGGAACACCACGTGGGAACTGACTCGAGAATATCTCCACTCTAGATGGCGGGTTTCTGCAATGGGGTAGCCCGAATGGAACCGATCTCCGTGCGCTTCTCAGCGAATCACCCACTCGTTGCATCGTCGTGGCTCCAGCATACCGGCTGAACTTGTTCGGATTCCTGGCTGCTAAAGAGCTGCTTGACGACTCGTGTGCGGATTATAACGCTAACCTTGGCTTTTGGGATCAGCGGCTGGCCCTCCAGTGGACTCATGAGAATATCAGCTATTTTGGTGGCAACCCGTCAAACATCACCATCGGCGGCTACTCGGCGGGCTCGCATTCTGTCTTCCACCAGCTGTCGTACGACCTTGGGTTGCCCGACAACAAGGCTGTCGTCAAGAGGGCACTCATGCTATCCAATGGACCGGGCATGCAGCCCAAGAGCATGGATGAGGTGCAAGACCAGTTTAACGAGCTACTGCAGGCTCTTGATATTGATTTGGCACTCTCCCCCACCGCAAAACTGCTGAGGCTGCGCTCCCTGACTCCTCGCACCTTGGTGGAAGCAAGCAACAAGATCAAATTGCATCAGTTCCGCGCAGTCACCGACGGCTCGTTTGTCCGCCACGGGCTGCTTGAGGAGCTGTCCAATGGTGTGTATGCGGAGCGCCTGAAGCGTCGTAACGTCAAACTTATGATTGGCGAATGCAGCGACGAGCACTTCGTATATGGCACCTGGCGGCCGCCACAGCCAGGCTACGAGCATATGCAGCACCGGCTAGAAGCCGACTATCCCCGAGAGGCCTGTAAAGTGCTCATGTCATATTACTTTCCTGATGGAACGCTGCCACCAAGGTTTGACAGCTGGCAGGCGGCTTTTGGACACATCTACGCTGACGTGCAGATCCATGCACTACAGCGGGGGATGCTCAGTGCGCTTGTCAGGCACGGTGCGGGCCATTTGATACGTAGGTATCGCATTGAATGGCGTGCGCAATGTGTCGATAAGCACTTGCCCAGGCATTATGGCGTTACGCACGGCTCTGACATGGCCATTTGGTTTTGGGGTAATGGCAGCGCTTTGACCGACAAAGAGAAGAAGATAACGTTGGATACGTTTCATGCCCCTTTGAGTCGTTTCCTGCTGGGAGAAGAGCCGGATTGGGGTACACAACACGCGATGCAGTTGCGGACACTGAAGAGCAATGGTCATATTGCTATTGAAGAAGACGTACGGCAAGAAGAGGGTCTTAGACTCTGGGACGCCCTGAAGAAGGCCGGCGCGACTGGGGAGCCGAAGAAACTCGCAAAACTTTGAAATCGTACCATTTGTGCTTGTATTGGATTTCTCACAGTTTTGCATAATTCTTCTATATACTATCAAATACTATTGCTCACTAAAATATACAAAAGTGTGCTCGATTCTCTAAACATGTGACTCTCGCTTCATTCTAACTCAATGTAAGATTATCATATGGTTCTTATAAGCCAAGAGAATATGGCTTGATATTATAGCTCGCAATACAATCATGAACCCATTTAGCTGTCACTACCTCTCAAAATTCACATGGTTCAAGTAAACAAGAGTCATGCTCAGCGCTCATCAAGTCTTATAAACACACTCCGTACTTGGCAATGCAATATTTTGCAGCTATCTTGAAGAGATAGAGCAACGAGAGCTAGTCATTCGGGATATTTTACCGTCGTTACAGAGTGGTGAATAGCAAGCTGTAACTTGAGAGTACTCACTGAAGCCTATGAACCTAAAGGATAGCTAACTTGTTACCATGTTATCTTAAAGACAACTCTAAAATTGCGCATATCAACAAAACGAATGCATTGAGGTTCAGCCTTGATTCAATTTCTATCTCCACTACCTAAGCCAGCTGTCTTAGAGGTGGTTGCAGTCTAGATTATAGGCACGTCTACCCTCACTATTGTGGCCTAGAAAGAAGGTCAGCTGCTTTCTCAAAAAAGGATGGAAAAGATGAGACTTACAGCACAAGTTGAAGGACTGACACTTAACTGTCGTGCCGTCTCCTAGTCCAAGGCAAGTCAACGTCGCATCGCACCACGTACCGCCGGCGCCGGTGCAGCATGATCTAGTGAGCTGGCCATCGCGATCAATTGGAGAGTTGCCTAGTTGAACGTGAGATGATAAGAAACATTGGTAGCAAGGTAGGGGAGAGCTGTAAAACTCACATATAACACCCGGAAAGCCGCCTATATTATGGTTGCACACTGTGTTCGGTCCGGAAGGAGACGCGACACTCAGGCCGTGGCTGGCGATGAGAAAAGCCATAGCTGCTGCGAATTGCTTCAAGTACATGGTTGAAGTGTGGTGGATGGTGGGGCTGGGGTGAGTTTGCGAATAGGGTTGTCTCTTGGGGGAGAGATTGGAATAAAGAGTCAGATTTGCTTCAACAATCAATGTCTATGGTGTGAGGTGGATATTTCCAAACTGCGCAGTCAGTTGAGGTTTATATAGAGGCAGCGCGGCCGCCATGTGCAGACACGCCTCGTAGACGTGCAAGGGGAAACGGGCACGGCACGACAGACTCGTACGACTGTGTGAGAATTTGAATGCTATTCGATAAATACGATGGAATAAAGTCTCATGATGAACTTGAATGGAAGAAACATCGTACATGTCAGGGTTGTTGCCATGAGCCTCCACCTCATACGAGCCTTACCTTCTGTCGTGCTCACCCTGATTCTTCGCAGGTTCTGCTTGTCTCTCCTCAGATATTCAGCCTCGTCATTCAATTGATGATATGCATTGTTCACAAATCCATTCCGTTGCAATAACGCTGCAATGAACATTTTTTGTAGAGCAAAGACAAGCAATGGATATAGATTTAGCATTATACGCTAGGATAGGTTGGTGGGGAATACGAGAATACCATGTTGCATTCCGATAGTGCCGGAACCTGCCGGGACCTGCCGGGACATGTTTAGTGAGATGACATGTTCTTGGCCTCTTGGTGATAGTGTTTGAACGGTACGTCATTGATTGCAGGGCTCACTTGGTCACGGTGCAGCCAGTGCTCTTCTGTGTGAAACAGCATAGTCATTCCGAAATCCTTATACACTGATTGTATTCTTGTAATTTGCTTCATAGAAGAGATCTGTTTAGTAATTACTCTAGTAGTGAGCTTGTGGTTGATTTGCTAATTCGGAACATTTCAAGCTGTCTCTCGCAGCCTTGTAGCCCTTTTGAATCAAGGATTTGGTTCAAGGTAAGATTCCACTGGATAGTAAGCCGATAAGCGGTAGCAAGGTACGTAGGTGAAGATGTACTACTAAGCGAAACCAGGTAGACAAGACTAATACTGAAAACAATACCTAGCTGTACAGGGCAGGGACCTATAAGCTTTGAAGTTGATGTTTATTAATCTCCTGTCTGGATTGTGTCCTTCATTTGTTCTATCTATCTATGTACCTAGCAGGTGATAAGAGCCTATCCCAGTTTGTTAATTTATAATAAAAAGTAATACTTTTTATTTTTTGTAAAGAAACAAAAAATACTATTCTTCTCTTATTTTATTACAAACTTTATCACTTTCTTTAATATTTATACTTAGTAAGTAATAAAACCTTATTTAATTTTATATATTAATTCTTATAAATAATACATATATTTCTTGATGAAAAAAAACAATTATTAATCTATTATTTAAATTATAGTTATTTTATATAACGTCAAAGTATAGCTGTAAGGGGCTCGACCCCGGAGGGTAGTCTTAAGCTCGGGAGCACGATCGGACAGGCCAAGGTAACAAGATTGTATTCGATCGTGCTCCCGAGCTTAAGACTACCCTCCGGGGTCCACACACACACCAACTTTTAAGCAGAAATCTTTCATCAAAACTCGTCAATTTTCTATCAGATATAGGGGTAACACGTCGCGAGAAACCGATTTACGCCACCTCTAATGTGTGCAGCCCTCTCGTTGAGGTGCTAGAGGGGGTATTGTCGGTATTCTTGCGACGTGTTCGAAATGCGAAAATCTTTGAGAACGCACAGACCGCCCCGATGACTAATAGGGAGACTACTAAACGAAACCAAAAACAATTAAAAACACTAAATAAAACAACAAAAATCAAAAATCCTATATCTAAACGCCGAGACAGCCTGATCCCGCTGTGGCACCATATCCAACCGCTAGGACAGTCTTTGCCTACTGTGGCACAAAATTCAAAAACGCTATAACAGTTTTCTGGTCTGTAATAGCAAAATAAGTCGAAACGCCAAGACAGTCTTCGCCTACTGTGGCACCAAATCCAAACGCTGATAC